ATTAAAAGCATGAAGCTATTAATTGACAGTTCTAATTATGAAAATATTATATTACAAGGTTATGTGCAAAAAAAAGTGAAGTCAATATATAAATGGCCTACGAAATCATCTGATTTCAATATGTTTCAAATTAAACATACTACATATGTATTTCAATGCCGCTTGATTGATATAGAGGTCAAAATGATGAATATTGACTTATTTGATTCTGTATTGCATAAAAAAAAAAGTTACGTTATTCCAATGTTACACGTGTAAATATTGTATTATTGTAGAACACATGTGACTTATATACTTACGTTTAAATACTGTTTATCGTACCTTTATCGTAACATTAAGATTATATGATATGGAATTAGTAAGTTACATTGTGATTTAATTTTTTTTATAAGTTTCACATAAATAGTATTAATAAAATATTACGCAGAATATATATTCTAAATAAATATTATAAAATTAATATTAATATTATCATTGTTTTCTTATGAAAGTATACATATAAACAAATTATATTTTTCTCATTGAAATGATTGTAGCCGCAGTACGCGGAAACTCTTGGGCGCGACAATTCGTGTGCGAAGGTCTTAAACCAAGTCAGAAGCATAACGTTGATTAAAGGTTGATTCGACGTCCAAATGATCGATAAACCGTTGAATTAATGTTGTTTCAACCCTCATCGACGTCGAATCAACATGATGTTCTAACTGGGAAGCGGCATCTACTATGGTCTGTTCTTTTTAGCTGCACTGCTGAACTGGTGCAATAAGTTAAAGTGAGAAAAAATATATTTATCTCATTCTAACTTATTGCATCAGTTCAGCAGAGCAATAAGTTAAATTGAGAGAAAGCATATTTGTTTCACTCTAACTTATTGCATTACTTCAGCAGTGCAACTAAAAAGAACAGAGTTATAAGCTGCGTTCAGATAACACAACGGTTGTACAACGGTTGAGTAATTACTCAACGTAATCGATCTAAAGTTAGGGATCTAACAGTAAGGACCAATAATCACTGACCGTTCACTGATCAATATGTTTTCTGAACGCAGCCAATGTCTTTTGTCAGTATATCTTTCTCTCAGTCCATCTTGCGCCTTCCTTATTACTGCCGGATGGCCTGATTGTGTTGTAATTCTTATTAGAGGTTCTATAGAATGTGGATCCAATAGACTTGAAAAGGTACGAATTACTTATATTAATTACAATTTCTCACATAATATTTCACACATGTGACAAGAAATGTGAAACTTTTCTTAACCTACAAATAACAAGAGAAAATTTTTCGTATAATTGTATTATAACTTCGATATGTAACATACCGATACTATATATATATATATATATATATATATATATATATATATATATA